TTTTTGTATGCTCTTCGTGATCGAGAATTATTATATTACATTTTTAACCATCATTATAAATTGTTTTTTTTTCATCATATAATTTTAATATCTTATTATTATTTAAGATCTACCAATTGTTTATTTCAAAACTTTCACTTAAATCTTTTATTATTTTTTTATTACTAATAATAAATTTATTAAGTGGTCTTTTTTTTTTCTGATTCAATAAGTTTTTCTATTTTTCTCTTTTTTTAAGTTCCTTATATTTGAATTGTTTTTTTTTAGTAGCCACAATTTTTTGACAATTCAATATTTTTTATAAATCAATCAAATTCTATAAAATCAAAATTATAAAACAATAACACTTAATTTTATCATTAGTGTTTCTAAAACTTAGGATATTATAATGTGAATAACTTGATTCAAACTATATTTTGTACAAAATAACATTGAACAAGTGAAAGTGCGAGTATAAAATAATATATCGAGGTTGATTTGATGACCTTTGTTGCAAAAATTAGAAAGACATTCACAAGCCAAAGGGGAGAGAGAATCTTTTATTTTGTTTTTAGATAGAAACAAAAATTAATTTTTTTTTGTGTGTGCGCGTAAGAGAAAGAGAAAAAAAAAAGAGAATGAGGGGGTGGGGGTTGATGTTTTAACACGAGAAACAAAGTAGAGAGACTGTGTTTGATTGATATAATTGACCAAAGTAATTAATGGTATAGATTATTGATTTTTTTATTTTTGCATGTAACAGTCAAATAACTTTTTTTGTTCTTGTTAAAATTTCATGTTTTTAATCACATGGGTTGGGTGCCTTTTACTTTTGCTATGCCACAAACACTTTTTGAGTCTTTTTGAGAATGTTACTGTTTTTGTCAAGCATATTAATATTTTTATTGAAAATGTTATTATTTTTATTGAATATGTTACTATTTTATTTTTTTTAAAATATTAATATTGAATGTTATTTTTTTTTTATGTTTANACTTGATTCAAACTATATTTTGTACAAAATAACATTGAACAAGTGAAAGTGCGAGTATAAAATAATATATCGAGGTTGATTTGATGACCTTTGTTGCAAAAATTAGAAAGACATTCACAAGCCAAAGGGGAGAGAGAATCTTTTATTTTGTTTTTAGATAGAAACAAAAATTAATTTTTTTTTGTGTGTGCGCGTAAGAGAAAGAGAAAAAAAAAAAAAGAGAATGTGGGGTGGGGGTTGATGTTTTAACATGAGAAACATAGTAGAGAGACTGTGTTTGATTGATATAATTGACCAAAGTAATTAATGGTATTGATTATTGATTTTTTTATTTTTGCATGTAACAGTTAAATAACTTTTTTTGTTCTTGTTAAAATTTCATGTTTTTAATCACATGGGTTGGGTGCCTTTTACTTTTGTTATGCCACAAACACTTTTTGAGCTTTTTTTGAGAATGTTACTGTTTTTGTCAAGCATATTAATATTTTTATTGAAGATGTTATTATTTTTATTGAATATGTTATTATTTTATTTTTTTTAAAATATTAATATTGAATGTTACTTTTTTTTTATGTTTAAATGTTACTATTTTTTATTTTTAATTTTACTATATATATAAAATAAAATAGAACAAAATTTGAATTTTAGAGACAAAGAGAGATACAAATCATTTTAAAATTAAATATAAATAAATTCAACTGACAACATAATCTCAACATCAAATATGGCTATGATCTTCTCAAAAAATTTTATCTAACGGTGAATTTTATTTTACCGCCCAACAAACTGAATCACGTCTCTCTCTCACAGGTCTCGCTCTATCTCACGCCTCTCTCTCTCTCTCTCTCTCTCTCTCTCTCTCTGATGCCTTTCTCTCACTGTCTCTATCTATCTCACGCCTCTCTCTTTCTGATGCCTCTCTCTCCCACTCCCAAGAATCACGCTTCTCATTCCCAAAACTACATCATATCCTATCTTTCTCCCTCTCTCACCGATGGCATTCAATCCTATCTTAAGAATTCAAAATATCACCTTTCCATACCGGTGATTCTCAAATCTTCATGTATCCCCTAATTAAATCCCTAATGTTTCGCAAATCTTCTCTCCCTCACNTTTCTCCCTCTCTCACCGATGGCATTCAATCCTATCTTAAGAATTCAAAATATCACCTTTCCATACCGGTGATTCTCAAATCTTCATGTGTCCCCTAATTAAATCCCTAATGTTTCGCAAATCTTCTCTCCCTCACTCGGACTCAAATTGATTAATTCCAGCTGCTGCTTATACCGCACAGTCTCTTTGCTAGAATTCTCTGCTACCTCAACTGATTCCAGGTACACGCTGAAACTCTCTGCTTCTCTTTTCCTCTCTCTCTACTTCTCTATCTCGCCAACTCATCTCATTCTCTGATTCCACAACACCCATAAGGTGTTCGAACATATGCCACAGAGTATAAATAGTGTATTGGCTGGATTTTTTTGGGAAACCATACGCATACTGGATTTCGATTTTGCGTTTTGATATTGCTTTCTGGATTTTGATTTTTTTCTTACAGCTGGATTTCGATTTCNGAACATATGCCACAGAGTATAAATAGTGTATTGGCTGGATTTTTTTGGGAAACCATATGCATACTGGATTTCGATTTTGCGTTTTGATATTGCTTTCTGGATTTTGATTTTTTTCTTACAGCTGGATTTCGATTTCGACTTTGATTTTGGATTTCGTTGTTGATTTCGACTACGATTGTTGTTGTTGTCTTCTTGCATTGCATTGTCGCGCTACTCAGGTACATGTGTATCTCTCACTTTCTCTCTCTGTTCTTTCTCTTTGTGTCGCAACCCTCTTCTCTTTGTGCTGCAGCCCATCCACCGCCAGTAGCCAATCACCGCTGCCACCATGCCATCAGCACCACCTGTATGCTGCTGTTTTTGTGGTTTTCATTTAAATGTATAAACCTCAGTGATTCCCCTAGATTGGATTTACGGATTTAGGTTGCCATAGGACCTCATCCTTTTCCTTCTTCCCCTCTTTTGTTTTCTAATTTTTATTTTTTATTTTTTGTTTGGATAAAATAGTGGCTTGAGTTCAATCTTCCAAAAAATGTAGGTGATGAACGTGTTAACCAGGTGAGATTATGACCCTAGATCTTGCTTGCTTTGTTAACCAGTTGAGATATGTGTTAGAAGGTACTTTATGTTCCCTTTATAGGTCACAATTGGTATATAATTGGTTGCTTTTTATCTTCAAGAACATCACCACAATTGATTTGTTTTCTCATGTCAAGTGGTTGATGAAGTGAAGTGCAGATGTGGTTTTTGCCAATGAAGGATCTCACTATATCGATGTATGTATTTTTCACCCTATCGTTTCATTGTTTTGCTTTCTTTTTTGTTTTGGACTATGGCGGTGTGATTAGCAACTAGGCTTTGACTTTCTTTTTCTATATAATTCCATATGATCATGAATTGGAATTTAAGTTTTGGGACGAACTCATTATTGACCAACTAAGTTTACATTATTACTGCTTGCGTGGTTCTAGAACAAAGGGTGACAACTACTAAATGTATGGGTTGCTTATTAGAGGAAGCATGCGATAAGAAAGGATCATAGTGGAGAGGAAGACTCACATGGACAAATAGGCTACTTTTGAAACAAATTTTGTATTCAAGTCTCTACTTTTCTAATTTTTTTTTTTTTTGGTTCAGATTTTGCTCATTACGACCACGTTTTTTGGTGGGTTTTGTAAACACGCTTACCGAGTCATACTCAGGAACTGTTAGACCAAGTGTCCACAAAAGACACCAATAGTTGGATGCTCATTTTTCATCTCTCTCTAAATCCCTTTCATGTTGACAATTGTTTT